GCACGCGCTTGCTCGCGCGCGCCACTGGTCGCAGTTGTCCCAATGCGCCAATTAGGCTACATGCGAACGCGCACATGATACTCTCTTATAAGACACTGTCACCCCTGACACAGGAAAGTTTCATCGCACACCCGGATAGCGAGGGCACGCTAGTCCGCTCCCAATGCCGGAGCTTGACCCCGAGGCGGGACAAAGAGCGCGCTGGAAATCAACCAGCGGCAACAGCCGACCGATACAGCAACTACGGGTTTTGTACACAATAAACCCTACTCCGAGTGGATTCCAGAATTATGCCCTTCTTATTGTGTTCTTCCTGCGGGAATCCCAACGGGCGTAATTCGACGGTGGCACACGTCAGATGTCACCGTTACAACACCAGCGACGCACAAGCCGTCGTTATTACAGCATGGGCCTCTAAAGGCGGCACGTCCTCGGGCGACGCAACACACCGATGGCACATCACTGGAACTTGTTTCACATTCAGTTAAAAGCAACTGTCATCACATTCACACAAAGGACTCTGTATTAACCGGAGGTTGGCGAGACGCAAAGTATTCAAGCACACAGGACTCTCTCAGGCTCGACTGGGCGTAGTCAACACTAGCCATGATCACAGCCGTAATAGGTACAAGTACAAGTACTACCTAGACCGCTAAAAGCCTAACTCTCACATGCTGCCACGATCGAAAGACGAAAAAACTACTGCCAATATCAACCCCTGTCCCCCTAAATGTGTGTCTTATCTGTCGTCTATCATCATAGGAAATGGACAAGACCTCGAAAACCGACTAGACTAGGTGCCGAGGGGCGATTTTAAAGGGAGATGCAAACAGAACGGAGAACGCGCGCGGAGGAGGAGGGATTACCTGAAAGTGGGGTGAGGAGACACACTTGGCGAGTTGGGCAAAGAGGGGTTTAATTATCTTGCGGAACTCCGCGGCATCCATCACGTCCAGGATCTCCTCGAGCTCGTTGAGGAACATGACCTCCTTGGGACTGTGCACCTTTGGCCAAAACCTCAGCAGGGAGAGGACCACCTAAAAGCGGCATAAAGACACCAGAAAATAGAAAACTGCAAACAGCAGCATCGGCAACAACAAGTTTAATAGGTACTGACTACTTATATGCGACATCATGTGGTTTACTATAAATTACTAAGAAGATACTTCTTCGTAGTAAGCCCATTTTCTTGTGTATGTATTCAGCATTTACCAATCTATTGCACTCCCCATACGGAAATCTTAATCGCCCTGTGGATAGTGTTAGTCTGCTTAGTTGCGCGATTTCTTGATAGTTACAGTCAGCTGGTCAGTCAAGTTTACTGGGCTCCGCTGCGCCAAGTCCCTTCTCCCCTCCATCCTATCTAGCAAACCTGCATGCACTCTGCTTGGGTTGATTGACACGCCCAACTTACTGCTCCTATGGAATCCACCATTACAGATACAGCAGGCTGACTGCACAGTGGTAGGATTTTCCAAGCAATCATCAAGATAACACTAGAATGACTACTAGACTCATTTAACTGTTGAAGAGGGTTGGCCGATTTGAATGATGCAGTTGACCCAATTTTGAAAAAGTCCCGGCCTCGCTGGCTGTACAAAAGCCTTCCCTGTTGTGCGGGTTCGAATCCCAACGAGATCGCGAATTTTTCACAATTGGGTCAAATGAATTATTCAAATCCGCCAACCCCCCCCCGCCTAATAAATATTCTATTTTTCACTTATGTATAGGTTTTACCTTTTCATTTTTTCTTCGGCCTGATTTGACCCACTCAGTTAACCCTTTTCACCACCGGTCCCATATCACATAAACGTGGGGTTTTCTGTTACTGTGATACAACTTATAAAGAATCTTTGGGGTGTAACGAGGTGGAAATCCTTGCAAAATGTGACAACGGTGCGGGCCGCAAACTGCTCGACTCACGGTGCTCAGGCCCGCAGTCCACCAAAAAGCCGTTCAGTAGCGCCAACAGAGGGATGGCAAAAAACCTTGCAGCATGAATACACACGAGACCAAGCGGGTTGTCGAGGGGGAAGCCACGGTATCACCACGCCATTACCAGCCGGCTGTGCTGGCTCGAGCGAGACAGAAAGCAGGGATCGGCGTGCATCTCTTTTCTGGCCACCACCGAAGACGGATTAAAAACAAACTTGCTTCTTGCTGGACCAAAAGGACACAACCCCCACCCCACAAAGAGCCCTTAATCCTCTCGGCAGGCTTTCACAGCAACTCGGTCGCGAGATCGATCTATAATTCAGTATATAAGGGAGATATGCAGAGCCTTTGAAAACCCTATTAGGAGACAGATTCTGTCAGATCATGCTTATGTTTCAAAGCCATATATGCACATTATAAAAATCGTTGTTTCAAGAAAAAGCGCACTTAAATTTATTCAGTAAATTTACTGATTTTCCCAAAGGAGTCCTTTCCTTGAAATTACATTTCTTGGGATGCCTGCCTCTCAGTCTATACGATAAATCGTTATTGTCTACCGAATGTATAACCAGCACGTAAAGTATGATCCAGTCTCCCTTGTACTTAGCCAGGTCGGTGCGTTCGTATAACCTCGTTTCCAGGCACATCGTTCGGCCGATGCATTTTGCTCCACAGGCGCAAATGATAAAGTGAATATACATTGATATGGCCTTCAACTGGAATCGGTCTTTACCTGACGACAGATTGCTGTCACCAGCTCGAAAATTCACAAGTACAACTTGAGTTTTTTTTCCGAAGAACACCCCCTCCCCATTTTTGCATTGTATCGCTCGGAATGGATACCATCTTTGATCTATATATATGATCTAGCTCACGCGCAAGTCACAGTGCCTGCTTCTGGCATGCTGTGGACGTCGTTGTTAACGACGACGATCAGACTTTCATGTCCCGAACGTGCACGCAGGATGCGCCAAAAAAACAAAAGTTGACAGACACGGGCCAGACGTTGATCTTGTCTTTCCCTCCGGGTAGGGCGGGCGAGCACAGAGCGAGTTTTTATTTAGCAAATTCATGCGCAAATTGCCGCCGCCGCCAATGGGACTGGCTTGCCCAAATAAAAATATGCTCAGACGACTATAGCCCAAAAATATGCCAAAATAAGAAGCAACGTTGTTTTCCCCCTCTCTAAGAGAATGGACATAAACCTTTTAAATGGTAGACAGGAAGAGTTTCCGGGGGTGGGGGCAGGGGCAGAACCATCGTCACTGACATGCAACGGAAGTAGATAAAAGTGTCGTTGCTCTAAATAGGACGTTAGGAAATCCGATGTCTTACTACCTTCTGTACCCGACAGTATGTGCTGTTATGTGAAAAAAAGCAAGGGGAGGCTACGAACACAAGGCTATTGCCAAGAAAGAGGCAACACGTCTATTTTGTCCTCTTTATACGCCAGTTTTGCTTGTTAGAGGGCTCAAACACTACTAGCGGGACCGTCGTACGACGACAACGACGACAGGTTCCCATGCAGCACACCTTCACGTTGGTGGAACCGACTGTACCCATCTCCGGATGGACCCATCTTCA